GAATTAATTAAAATAACACATCCACAGTCCAACAATGGACGAAGAAGCACCACATATGAGGTCTAATTTTGTATTACGTACTCAAGTTTAAAAAAAAAAAGCACCTACTATTTCTAACTAGTCCATTCATTTTAACTGGCACCAGGTACAGATACCAAGTAAATAGGGATTTGTGTTCTAATATAGATTTTTGGCCACTATCAGTTATGTAACCTTGGACAGGTTCCTCAACTTCTTTGTGTCTCTATTCTTCCATCTGTAAAATAGGGCAACTAGAAGCATATTTATTTTAAGTACAAAATTGACTACATCATACAAATTAAGCCTAACTGAAAAACCTGTAGATTCAAGAGCAACAGAATATTTGGTCTTTTCACTTAAAAGAACTTGGTAAATTACATTGAAATTTTATACTTTAACAGAACCTGACAATTTATCATATTAATTTTGCAGTATACTAAGATCCTAAATACATATATGAAAAATATTTTTAGAAAAATTTTACACTCAAGGCACGAGAGCTTATGTATGATTTCAGGATGCAAATTGACTTTTTAAATTTGAAAGTAAGAGTTATTCATATCTCTGCTTCCTAAGGATGAGATAAAAATATAGTTAATATGTTGACAACAGTAAATACCTATTTGTGGAGTCATCATATCCTTTAAATTATTTTAGGTAAAACCATCAACCTTTGAAAATATAAAAGGCTACAAGGAAACTTTTTTCTTAAAAAAGCTTTTGATTCAATAGTTCTTAGTCAAAAACATACTTCAGTAAGTTTCTATGAAAGTTTATATATAAGGTGCTACAGTATTTCTCACTTTATGCAAGCCTAAATCATCGTCTTCTCTCCCTCCTATCTCCAAAAGAGAAGACAAGGAAAGACTAAGCCCTGCCTTACCTCATTTGCCTATGTCCGATGACACTACTCTCTTTTTAGTCTCATAATTTTGAAGGCATCTTTGACTCATCCCTCCCCCTCAACCTTCACATCCAAAGAGTTAAGTCATGTCAATTCAACCTTTGTCACACTTCACATTCATCTCTCTTACTCCTTTCCGCTCCCATTACAACTACCTTAGCTCAGATCCTCATTTTTTGACATCATGTCCCTAACGTGTTTGACAAGAACCACAGACAAGGCTGAAACTGTAGGCAGGCCCCAAGCTCTGAGATATGTGAAGACTCAAAGCCTAAAGGAAAAAGAGAATTTTTCTTCAAAAGAAAAATAAGGTACATGTTAAATATCCATTCTAGGCATCTATATTCATGTAATCATATTCTATAGTATAACCCTTTGAAAAACAATTAAAGATTTGTTCATCACTTAAAATGTTGTTATTTAAAGATTTGTTCATTATTTTTCCTGTTATTTAAAAAGGAACTGGTTCATTCCCTATTTGAGCAATACTTCTACAATATCCTGGGTTATCGTGAGGCTCACAGCACATAAATCTAAGTTCAATATCATTTACTATAAATCATATGGTTGAAATGCCATCCATCCCAATCCTAAAAGGCTAAGAGTAGCTACTAATTACGTGAACACTTGAATGACTTCCTATGTCTATTTAAGTTACTAAATATTTTCTAAGATGTATCTAGGTGAAGTCCTTCAACTGTAATTTAGTACTATAAATCTAACTCCTCCAGCCTGCCCTCCTTTTCTAAGTTAAAACACACACACACACACAAACACATACACACAGCAAATTCTCAGATTCTGATTAGTTCTGTGCCAAGTTATATAGCTTGTTCATTAATGAAGTTATGGCTATTTAATGAACTTACTATTATCCTTTTGAAGGAGGACAAACATAGCATCAATCAATAAGCATTTATTAAGTGCCTACTCTATGCCAGGTAAAGATAAAAGACAGTCTCTGCCTTCAAGGATATCACCATACAATATGGAAGACAACGTGTGTGTGTGTGTGTGTGTGTGTGTGTGTGTGTGTGTGTGTGTGTGTAGAATGGGACGGTTATAAAGGGCTTTGACCAGCAGATTACTTAATTAATCCTAGAAGCCATAGGCAACCACCGCAGTGTTGAACCTACACTTTAGGAAAAATACTTTGGCCGCTCAGTGAGGACGGACTACAGTGAGGAGGGACTCGAGGCAGGAAAACTCCTCCCCCACCCCACCCCCCCAGCAGGCTATTGCACCAGTCCGGATGTGAAGTGATGAGAGTTTTGCACCACACTGGATATCAGAAGAGAAAAGGGGACATACTTGAGAAATGTTACAAAATTGACAGGCCTTGACAACAGAAATCAATGTGAAGTTAAGAGGGCTTTGGTATGAATTCACATTTGGCTACTTACTACCCATATAACATTGAGGAAGTCACTAGGTCTCAATCTGTAAAAAGAAGCGGTCAGTCTGTATGACCCCTAAGGTTCCTTCTGGCTCTATAATCTTAAAAAAAAAAACCCAAAAAGCAACCTTGCTTTTGTGAATTCTCTATTATGTGGCTTTAATGAGAACATACCCCATAGGTACCAGGAAATAAAGGTAGATTTTCATATGTTGCTAATTTCATCCTTGGTTCTCTTAAATGAGAGCAGTTACTTTCCTGTTTATATTTATCTGTCGCAGGTTAAAAAAAATAGGCAAGAGAATGACAAGTCACATCAATAAAGGTGCTGCACAATTCCCCAAATTCCCTTTCCTCTTATTTCTGGCTCATCTCTAAGCCCAACTCACTGCCCAAGTGCAATGCCAGGTGACAAGAGATTAGATGGACTAACTCAATGGGTGTCCATTTCATATTCTCCCAATGATACTAGATAGCTATGAATCTCATGAAGCAGAGCTGAGAAAAATGAAAATTCTAGGGAGCCAAATGGGCAATAGAAAAATGCACAGAACATTTAAGTAAGCCCAAGTAGATTAACAATTAAAACATGGACCATAAAATGACATGAGAGACATCAAAACTACATGTTCAGAAATGTAGGTAGGTCAGTTCTGGACTGAGAATCTGAGATAAATAACAATCCAAATATGATATATTAGTAGGTTTGAAATACTTAAAAGACCCAAAGGAAGGCCTCCAATTTGTTATACATAGTATGAATTTAATAAGATACTTATTTTAAGTGAGGAGATTCTCTACGCGGGATTTAGGAAAGTATATGGACAAAAGTTACACATAACAATTTCAATATCTACCAGTAGAATAAGTAGCCATACCAATGACAGATAATATGGATCCATCAAATTTGTATTTATCTGCATGTTTCATTTCACCAGAAGAGATGGCATTTTACCATTTCTATCATTTGAATCAGCTTCCAAGTTGCCAAACAGGAAAGTCCGAATAGAAAATTTTACCATTTTAAAACAAATCACTCTGTTACATCAATCTTTTAATGAACGTCCAAGCATCAATAATAGAGTATAAAAATATTGGTTGGTTCAAAACAAAGTTTACAAAGCAGCATTTAACCACACAAAAGAATATTTACTAAGTCTATTATGTGTAAGATACTCTCACACATTTAGAAAAGCCACTTTCCTTGATTTTGTTTGATTTTTGTTCCATTTCTACAACACATGATGTTTCCTTAAGCGTTGCTATGCTATTTTCAAACTGTCCTTAAGTTGCTCTGTTAGAACAAATTGTTCAATACTAAGACATTTACTGAACATTTTATTTTTCTATAAAGATGGCCAAAGGCTTAAGTGCCTGGATCTTTTTCTATTTATCCATTTCATTTTTTCTACACATAACTCTATAGAATTGTGAAGATCATTAAAATTCCAGCAACATCTTAGAAAAATAATTCTGTTTAAAATAAGTATTCATGTACCCAAAGAAACTGGTAAAACAAAATGTTTAAAAACATAAGGGATTAGGGAAAATGGACCCAGAACTAACTAGGTTTTCTATCATATGAAGATTTTTATTTAAGAACAGGATATCTAAGTTGTGCTACAGCAACTATTTCAAATTATACTCTATTATAAATAAGTTAAATTCTAGTTCTTAATTAAGTGAGGTTTTATTGCATTTTTTGTATCCTTTAACAGAAATCTCTAGCTTTAAAAAATTTGGCAAGAAAATATTTAAATTTCCCATTAACTTTATTACAAAGGCAGGATATCCTTCTTTATCCGATTCCCCCTCTCCACTAGTACTCTGATCCAGTCAATTGTACTAATAGTGGCTGAACTGACAAACTAATCACCATGTGTGCAAAAGATCACTAGGTGTGTGCTGATCTTTTCAGTCCTAAAGCAATGCTGAACTATGAATTGTTATGTGACTTACGTTAAATGTGTAGAGGAGAAAACAGAGGTTCCACCTTGAGGAAAGTCTAGCCTATAACAGCCACACCAACATGGACTCAATAATATACCAATATGTCCTATACAACGTGAGGAACATTGTCCTACCACATATATTCTCATAATATAATTTACTTTTAAAATACACCTTAAGAATAAATAGGCAAAAGATATGGTTATCATTTGTTTTGCGGTTATACTCGAAGGACCATGGAGTTTTTCAAAGTTCCTACATGCTATCTCTCCCATTAAAATGTAAGCTCCTTGAGAACAGGATGCATCACTGCCCATTAGTATCCCTAGTGCTTTGCACATACATTTAAGAAATGAGTTTTCATTCACTGTGTCCCTCCAAGGGCAAATATTCTGGTCAACACTACAACCTTTAGAGTTCAAATCTGATCTCAGACACTTACTAGCTGTTTGACCCTGGGCAAGTCACAACCCCAACTGCCTTAAAAAAAAAAATACTACAATCTTTAGATCAAATATGGGGATCACAGGTAGGATTCTAAGATTTCAGACCTAAATATGACCTTAATGATAATTTAATCTAAGATTTTCATTTGAAATCCAAACACTTAAAGGTTGAATCAGTACAATTTCATCTCTTTGACAAAGACCTTAAAGAAACTCACTGCTCTCCATAGGTGATTAAATACTTTTCCTCAATGAACTACAAAACCAGTATAGACATACTTACTTTTCCTTTCTTTCTTGTTTATGAGCTTCTCGATTAAGTTGAGCTGCTTTTCTGCTATAAGGATGGATAACTTTTTTCTGATGTCCCACACTTTTCCTCTTCAGTGATTTTGGCTAAAATGCAGAAAAATACAAGGAACATACCAGTGACATTCATTAATAAATCCTAAAGTGTGGCATCTCAAGGAAGGAGAGATTTGAGTCTTTGACAGAAAATATAATGATAACTCTGGGCAAGTCATTCCCCCAGGCAACTCTAAGTCAATCAAGTTGCAGAGTAGGAGTTGATGTCCATTATTAGAGGGAGTTTCCTCTTCAGGATTTCCCTACTAGTGAAACCACAGGCTGTCCCTTCCAAACTCGCTCCCCCTCCACCCAAAAAACAAAAAACAAAAACAAAAACAAAAACAGATGAGCCAGATGTAGATCTACATCAATATTGGCTTTATTATAGATATATTATTATGTAGATACTATATAGATATTAGTTTAAAAATCCATTGTAGACTAGAGGCAGCAAATTAAAAGAGAACTGTTACACATGGTACCAATGACAGAAAGGAAAATGGAAAGCTGACAACCTGAGACCAAGGGAGGTGACCAAAAAAACCACAAAGAGCAGGTACAGGGCTATCTAGAACTACCCAGCATAGAAGCTAATGACCCATATGCCTCAACAGGACCTGAGAGCATCATTATATCACTGTAAAGAACAAGGGCACTGTGTGGGGAAATGGGGTTTATTTGAAAAGAGCCCTTTACCTGGAATCTGGAGAGCCCGAGGTTCAGATCCCAGCTCTTTGGTTTGCTAACTATGGGACCACAAACAACACATTGAAGCTCTCTGAGCTTCAATTTCCTCACCTATACAATGGCAGCATCTGTATTATTTACAAAGAAGCACATCTTAGCTCCCAGAGTGCTGGTCTGGATGTCAGGAAGACCTGGATTGAAGTCCTTTCTCTGACACATACTAGCTGTGTGGCCCTGGGCAAGACATAAATTCTTACTGCTCCAGTCAACTCTGTAATACTGTAATGTACAGAGAACGTACTGACCTGCATTAGTACTGGGAGTTTCCTCTTTTGGGAGCTCCCTATACCTGTGAAATCCTAGGTCTAATCCCTATCTCTATCCTTACACACTCCATAGGTGGTTGAGAAAAAATGCTTCATAAACCTCATCAGGGAAAAATATTTTTAAAAATAAGTCATGTGATGACATACATATGGCAGATTTTTCATAACTATTGATAACATACCTATGGTACAATTTTTGGGAAAATTCAGTAATTTCAGATTACAAAAAAGACACCTACTATGCCTGTTAAACAGAGCTAGGTGGTGCAATGAATAGAGCATTGGGCCCTAAATTATTGCCATAAGCATTGATATGAACAAAATGGCCCTAAGAAGTTTTGGATATACAAGCACCAAATGGACTACATCTTAATATATAGGAGAGAACTAGTTACTGATCTAGGAGTTGTTTCTAAATCAGCAATGTAAATCCAGGTAACTTACAAAGACAAAGAGCAATAACAGTATGATGCACAATTAAAACACCTACAACCTTATCTATTTAAACATTCTATTGATCTGAAGGAAAAATTAGAAATAGACAAAGGAACAGAAGTAATATTAAGGAATCACCCAAATACCCAAAGAAGCCTAAAATCCACCTCAGTGAACAAATAACTGATCTTGCCAAACAAAGAAATTATAAGGTAGGCAGAAGCAACAAGTCAGTTGTTTAAGAAGTAACCTCCATATGGTCAACCATAATTCTAGAAGACCTCCTGACAGAAATAATGGATAATGGATAAGCAGAAAGACGTCTAAAGTTCTTGAATGTGGGCAATATAAGAAATTGTTTTGCCTGACCATACATATTGGTTATAAGAGCTTTGTTTTCTTTTTTCTTTTTCTTTTCTTATTAAATGGGGGTTAGAGGGTAGTATGAAGATAGAGAAAATAAATATTAATTGGAAACTAAGGTGGGAAATAAAAAGTACTTCCCATGTTAATATCATAAAAGACTTTTTTAAAAACCCAAAGAGTAGAAGCTGGAATGAACAGTAATGGAAGAAAGACACCGTGACATTTAAGAAGAGAATTTGAATGTGTAGGATATAAGCTTTCACTAGTTGACATTTAAAGATCTCTCCATTATGGTTCCAACCACGGTTCCCAGACCACACTATGGTTTCTAGTCTTATTTCATAAAACTTCCCCTTTGTACAGTCTGTTCTAGCCAATCTGGATTCAAATCTCATTCTGCTGTCTTCTATCACCAGTCCAGGTTATTAGTCCTGGAAGGCATGACCTCTTCATTTCTGCCTATTGAGATCCTTCTCTTCCTCTTTTCAAATTTTCCTATATAACACTGACTGTATCTGAATGTCTCCATTGTCCCCTATTAGCTACATCATAGTATATACTTACATGTGTTCAGACTGTATTGCTCATTAGTAAAACAAGTTCCTTGAGGGCAAGAACTATTTTATTTTTCATCTTCTAGTTCCAGTGTCTAAAAAGGTACCTTACACTGAGTAATTATTTAATAAATATTTGAATTAAAAAGCACAAAAAGTAAAAATATCAATATAAAAGTCAAAAGTAAAGGAAGGCTTTAAATCAAATCATGCAGCAAAAGAGTTTTCCTCAGAAAGATACCTCTTCCGTGTTAGTAGGTTCCATGGTACAGATAACATAAACACAAGAAAAAGATATTGCATCGTCCCAAGCAAGAAAAATCTCTATAAAGTGTCACGTTTAAACTAAACCTAAAAATCTTCGTAACCAAAACTTTTTAGCAGTCCACTAGTCTATCAAAGACTAAATAACAACAAAAAAGAATCTTTTAAAATAATTAATGATAATAGAGTAACCTCAGAGTGACTGCCTTCATTCTTATTAGGTGATCTGAGTAAGAGTAAACTCTAAAATTTATTACAAAGCAGGTCAATATAATTGGAACATCCATTCTGACTCAACTATGCTTGAGATTCCTTTTAATAATTCATTTATAAAAAGGTAGCCTCAAGGCAGCATATAAATTTATCATGAAGATGGGAACTATGTAATAAAGTTTAGTAAAGTTGAGAGCACTTTTTCCTCCTTTTTAGTATGATATTAAAATGAGAAGTAGGAAATGCGTCAGCAACAGAGAGCTGAAATAAAATGCTAGAGGTAAAATGTTAATCAATCCATCAAGCTGGAGGCCATACCCAATATCTCATAACAAGGAGTGAGTCATCTACATCAGTGACTCTCATGGTTTGCTCCCACAGGCTGGTCCAAAATCAAGTCACACTCAAATGTAAGCTTTATTTTTTAAGTATTTTCCACTGCAGGTTTAAACATACATTAAAAAGGAATATCTAAAAGATGTAAATAGAATAATTGTTATTTTCCTAGAAAAAGGCTTAATTTTTATTTCTGTTTTGTTTATTTGGTGACGGGTCAAAAGCAGATTCTATCAGGAAAAATATTTTTTAAAAATAGTCACGTGATGATGCGTGTGGCACATTTTTCACAACTACTGATAACATATGTGTGGCACAGTCTCTGGGAAAATTCAGTAATTTCAGATTACTAAAAACTCAAGCCTGTTAAAGGAAACTAGGTGGCACAATGAATAGAACACTGGACCTAGAGTCAGAAAGATCTGGGTCCAAATTTGGCCTCAAACACTTCCTAGCTGTGTCATCCTGGGCAAGTCACTTAACTTTTGTTTGCCTCAATTTCCTCATCTGTAAAATGGGGATAATAACAACACCTTGCTCCCAGGGTTATTGTGAGGATCAAATGAGATAATAATCGTAAAGTGCTTAGCACAGTGTAAACACATTGGCATATTGTTAGCTACCGGCTATAATTAAAGGCATGAACAATCAGTGGCAAAATTCCCCAAAAGCTCAAAATAAATATACTGGAAATGACTCATTTCCCCTTCTCCCCCCAAGCCTTTCCCCAATGTATAGCCAATTTACTCTTTACTTTTGGTATTTCATCAGATGATCAGCTTAGCACTTGGGGAGCACAGCAACTAATGCTTCATATCTATTAAATATTATAAAACCTGCTAACTTACACAGGTAGAAGTGGTACTTTTGACAAAAATCACAGATCCTATAAGTACGTATCTCTGCTTGAATGAAAGATAGGTCAGGTGAATCAGAAAATGTTGGGGAGAGGCAAGGGGTTTCCTCCATTTTCCCATATTGTATTCCCCTAAGACAGGACACACAAATTAACCAATCACTAAAACTACTATAATGCACACACATGCCTAAAAGTATCCTAAATGGATTATATCCTTTTCACTACAGTAATAAGAAAACTGTTTTGAAAAGCAACTGTATAACATTCTGCCAGCTTAAACATTGCCCTTAAATGCAGCAAGATAAAACCTAAATTCTCCTGTGATTTTGAACACTCAGACGAATCTCTGCATTAAAGAATTATTTATACATATATCTGAAGGATGAACATTGCATTTGAAAATTATCAATGGTCTTTGCAACCAGCCAAATAAACACCCACCCAGACAACCTTACTTCTTAATTGCCAAATGATAATGAATAACAAAACCAGATGGAAATTTCAGGCTAGTTATTAAAAACTGATGACAAAAATATGCATTCTGCATTTTTTTTAACTTTTTACTTTAAATAGATATTTGTGTAGATTTATACAAATCTAGGCTGCTCTCTTCCAAAATTGTTGGCATCTTCTGGGTGCCACATTTTAGGAAGGACATGATAAGCTAAAGAAGAGCAATCAGAATGGTGAAGTAAATTTGCATTCATGCCATACAAGAATTAGTTGAAGGAACTAAAGAAACTTGGCCTGGAGAAAAGAAAACTCAGATGAGAATGGTAGTTGTCTTCAAAAATTTTGAAGAGCTATCAGTATTCTACTAGTTCTATTTGACCTCAAGATGCAGAAGTAGGAGCAATCAAGTAGAAATTATAGAAGCAGATTTCAACTCAATTTAAGAAAAAAGTTTCAAATAGATCTCTCCAAAGCAGAATGGCTGCCTTGGGACTAAAAATTCCCACTCAAAAGAGGTCTTCTAAGAAAGTCAGAATGACTATTTATTGATGTAAC